ACTCGAGCCTGGGCAACAGGGCAAGACCCTACCTCTAAAAAAAAAAAAAAAAAAAAACAACCACTGGCCGAGTGCAGTGGCTCACATCTATAATCCCAGCACTTGGGAGGCAGAGGTGAGAGGACTGCATGAGACCACGAGCCTGGGTAGACCTCATCTCTACAATGAATCAAAAAATTAGCCGGGCGTGGTGGCGCGTGCCTGTAGTTCCAGCAACTTGGAAGGCTGAGGCAGAGGGATTTCCTGAGCCCAGCAGGTCGAGGCTGCAGTGACTGTGAGCATACCACTGCTCTCCAGCCTGGGCGACAGAGTGAGATTCCAAGTCATTAAAAAAAAAAAAAACCCCAAAAAAACCACCTTGAGACTTTGGTCAGGGTGGGAGGCAGTCTGAATGGGCATTGTGAAAATGTTCCCCAGATGATCTGGATATGCCATTCACTCCTCACCCACCAGAAAACCACTAACTGTCTTGAAGAGTCATTTTTTTAAATATAAAAATTACATTTCATAAAACTTGGAAAATGGAAAAAAGAACCACCCATTATCCCAACACCCCAACACACTCGTCATTAGTATTTGGTGCCCCCCATCTTTATTCCTAATGCATCTTGTTGTCATTGTTTTGAGGTTTTAATCACAGTGCATGTGGTACTTCGTCTTTTGCATTTTTGCCTTAATATGCAATCATAGGCATTTGTACTATATTGCTTTCATAATAGAGTTTGGTTTTAAAGTTTAAAAAAAAACCCTTTTCCTATTTAAACAGAAATAGTCTTCTTTTAAGACACGGAAATAGCTGGGCTCGGTGGCTCAGCCTGTAATCCTGTGCCTTGGGAGGCTGAGGTGAGTGAATTGCCTGAGCACGCGGGTTCGAGACCCACCTGGGCAACTTGGCCGAGACCTCATCTCTACAATAAATCAAAAAAATGAGCCGGGCGTGGTAGCGCGCGCCTGTAGTTCCAGCTACTTGGAAGACTGAGGCGGAAGGATCGCCGGAGCCCAACAGGTCGAGGCTGCGGTGGCCGGGAGCATGCCACTGCACTCCAGTCTGGGTGACAGAGTGAGACTCCAACTCAAAAAAAAAAAAAAAAAAAAAGACATGGAAATAAGCTGAGGCGAGAGGACTGCCTGAGCCCACAGGTTTGAGACCAGCTTGGGCAACATGGCGAGACCTCGTCTCTACAATTAATTTTTTTTAAAAAGTAGCTGGGTGTGGTGGTACATGCCTGTAGTTCCAGCTACTTGGAAAGTTGAGGCAGAAGGATCCCCTGAGCCCAGCAGATTGAGGTTGTGGTGGCCGTGAGTGTGCCACTGCACTCCAGCCTGGGCAAGAGTGAGACTCCAACTAAAAAAAACAAACAAACAAAAAAAATAGAGCATGGAAATAGTTCAAGTTCTCTTTTTATTTATTTTTTAAACTTTGAATCATTTACATCAAAGTTCATGTTCTCTCTTTTCTCTAATTTTTATTTTTATATAGAGACCAGTTATTCCTATGTTGCTCAGGCTCCAGTCTTTTTTTTTTTTTTGCACTAGTAAAAAAGAACCAGCTGGATGCAGTGGCTCATGCCTATAATCCCAGCACTGTGGGAGGTCAAGGCGAGAGGATTACCTGAGCCCAGGGGTTTGAGACCAGCCTGGGCAAACTTGCAAGACCTCATCTCTACAATAAATCAAAATTAGCTGGGTGTGATGGTGCATGCCTATGGTTCTAGTTACTTGGAAGGCTGAGATGGGAGGATCATCTGAGTCCAGCAGGTCGAGGCTGTGGCGGCTGTGAGAGTGCCACTGCACTCCAGCCTGGGCTTCAGAATGAGACTCCAGCTCAAAAAAAAAAAAAAAACCCTAAAATAAACAAACAAACAAAAACAGAACCGGTAGAGACTCTGATCTTGAACCCCTGGGCTCAAGGGATTCTCCTGCCTTGGCCTCCCAAAGTGCTAGGATTATAAGCGTGAGCCACCCTGCCCAGCCTCGTTGTTCTCTTTTAAAGTCACAATCACGGTGGGGCTCAGTGGCTCAGCCTGTAATCCCAGCACTCTGGGAGGCCGAGGTGAGTGGCCTGAGTCCACAGGTTTGAGACCAGCCCGGGTAACTTGGCGAGACTTTGTCTCTACGATAAGTAAATAAATAATTAGCCGGGCATGGTAGCGCATGCCTGTAGTTCCTGCTACTTGGAAGGCTGAAGCAGAAGGATCGCCTGAGCCAGGCAGGTCGAGGCTGTGGTGCCCGTGAACATGCGACTGCACTCCAGACTGGGTGACAGAGTGAGGCTCCAATTAAAAAAAATAAAATAAAGTTACAGTAGGTTACAATCCACTTTTTCACTTAATATGTTTCCATGTCAGTACATACAGACATACATAATTGTTTTTAATCACTGAACAGATTTATATCACATTTATGTAGCTAATCAACTATTGCCGGCTATTTGTTTTCTGTGTGTGTATGCTGTGTATTTTTCCATTATGTGAACTGACCATAATTTCCTTAACCATTTAGCTATTTTTGGATAAATAGTTTTTCTTCTTTTGTTTTTTCTGTAATAAATAACAATGCATTGAAAATCTTCAGGCATCTGGCTTTCCCCATATTTTGAATAATTTCCTGGAGTGGAAGTATTGGGTCAAAGGGCAGGGATATTTTATGATTTTTTTTTTTTGAGTTGGCATCTTACTCTGTTGCCCAGGCTGGAGTGCAATGATATGCTCACGGCCACCCCAGCATCAATCTGCTGGGCTTCAGTGATCTTTCCGCTTCAGCCTTCCAAGTAGCTGGAACCACAGGCATGTACCACCATACCTGGCCAATTTTTCTTGATTTATTTTAGAGATAAGGTCTTGCCAAGTTGCCCAGGCTGGTCTCTAACCCATGGGCTCAGGTAATCTTCTCACCTCAGCTTCCCAAAGTGCTGGGATTATAGGACTAAGCCACCGTGCCCAGCATATTTTTTATGATTCTTGATTTGTAACTCCAAGCTGCCTTCTTAAAGCGTTCTTGTGCCAATCCAGATACTTCAGCAATGTGTTGGTACCAGGTTCCCACCTTCCACCCTATGACCCAAAGCCAAAGGTGGTTAGAGGAGAAGAGGATATTCTCCCTAAGAAGCTAGTAGCAAAAGAGATGTTTATATGAACAAAAAGGGACAGGACAGAGAAGAAGAGGGGAGAGTGAACACAGGGAACGGAAAGAAAGAGAAAAAGAAAGACATAATCAGAAATGACCATTTTTGCCAGAATTTTTTTTTTTTTTCTGATTGGAAAACTAATACTCCTTGTAAAAATCCAAGCTTTAGCCGGCCCGATGGCTTAGCCTATAATCCCACACCTTTGGGAGGCTTAGGTGAGTGGATTGCCTGAGCCCGCGGGTTCGAGACCTGCCCGGGCAACTTGGCGAGACCTCATCTCTACAATAAATCAAAATGAGCCGGGCGTGATAGCGCACGCCTGTAGTTCCAGCTACTTGGAAGGCTGAGGCGGAAGGATCGCCGGAGCCCAGCAGGTCGAGGCTGCGGTGGCCGGAGCGGCCACTGCACTCCAGTCTGGGTGACAGAGTGAGACTCCAACTCAAAAAAGAAACAAACAAACAAAAAAACCCCAAGCTTTTCCATAAATGTTTAAAGCCCTCTTCTGGTGACAGCCTCTGCTAACAGTTTAGGAATGCTTTCCCAGATTATTTCTTACACAAATACTAATGTATAACTTTTTGTTTTTCAAGAAACAGCTTCATGCTATATACACCACTGTGCAACTTTCCCACTGTGAATAAGTCTAAGGCATCTTTAGGACAAATATGTGAAGTGTGCAGATAATTTTTAGTTTAAATATCTAATTAGAATAGAATGAGAAGCCATATTGCCCATTTCCCCTGCCAGCCTTCTCTGGACGCCAGTTTCGGGAAGTCCTTCAGCTGCCTCTGTTTCCCTTTTTCGGTCAAAGGTATCCCCAGGGGACTTGCTGGTGCTTAGAGCTTGGTTAACCCCAGATGGTCTGTGGGTTCTCTGCTGGGAGACCAGAAGCCAAGGGTGAAGACAGGTATCTGCCCACAGTCCTCTGGGGGCCTCAATTGTGACCCCCTTGCCCGCCACTCCCAGCACTTGGGTGCCTAAGGATTAACCACTGCTGCAAAACCTCACGTCCAGGAAGAACTTCCAGCTCCTTGGGGCAAGACTGGCCTGGCGTTCCTATCTTTGTTGCTCGTCTCCTCAGGTGCAGCCCCCACCGCCAAAGTGACCGCCGGCCATTCCAAGTTCTCTTTCCCCAGCCTACCTGGGTTCAGGTGGTCCCACACCTGGTCCAGGGTGTAACCCTCACGTGAGGCCTGCAAGCTCCGGGCGCCCAGCCTGACTCAGTCTCTGTAGAACCCTTTGCAGCCCCCGTGACTCAGTTTCTCCATTTGCTCACGCGGGCCAACGGCGTGAGCCACCTGAAAGGAATGCGGAGGCAGCTTCCGACAGCCTTCCTGCAGTGCATGCTCTCAGGAGGGGCCCTAGAGACAGGGGTTTACGCTGCCCAGAGCGCTCCTTCTGGGCGTGCCCTGCACTGACTGGCCTTGGGACTGAATCCGTGATGCCTGGGGTGGCAGTGACTGAGCCAGATGCGCGGTCAGGACTGTTGGGAAGACACCGCCTGGGACCCGCCCGCCGTGGCTCCTCCGGTGCCAGGCCATGAAGAGGCTGCCAGGGAGACGCCTGGGGCCTGCGTCCGTGCCCGGCCGGTGCCCACGGCCCGTCGCCTGACGCAATCCGAGGCGCCCTTGCTGCATGTCGGCGCTTGGAGAAACCTCCCTCGTCGTTGCATCACTCCTGCCAGGTTTGCTACAGAGGTGGAGCCGAGCCAATCAGCGGGCGCGCTGAGCCCGGGGCTGGCAGCTCAGCCACCCACTCAGAATGCGGCGCGGTTAAGGGAGAGGCAAAGTTATTGGTCAAAAAGGTATTTGCCCCGCCCCAATCGCCGCGGCCGCTGGCCGCGGTGGGCGGGGTTTCCCGGCCAGAGGGTTTAAAAGGCGCCTCCGGAGGGTTTGCTCAGCTGGAGCGACCGAGCGGTGCCAGGCCAGGTGTGCGCGTCCGTCGGTCCTTCCGTGCTCACGCCGGAGACCAGCTCCGGAGGCCGCCTGGGCCCATCCCTGCGCCCGGCACCATGAAGCAGGAGTCTGCATCCTTGAACACCCCGCCCCCCTCGCCGTCCCCTGCGCAGTCCGCACATCCTTCCCGAGACGACGGCGACCCCCAAGCGCTGTGGATTTTCGGGTACGGCTCCCTAGTGTGGAGGCCCGACTTCGCCTACAGCGACAGCCGTGTGGGCTTCGTGCGCGGCTACAGCCGCCGTTTCTGGCAGGGAGACACCTTCCATCGGGGCAGCGACAAGATGGTGAGCATCAGACCGTGCCCAGGGGACCGAGGGAGTAGGGGCAGGATAGTGGGCGCCAGTGCTCTGGAATGTCCAGGGCACTCTGGGTCGATGGAGGGAAATGTGTAAGCCTGTGTCTAGGGCTTGTGGCTTAAATGTATGTGCCCAGTGGGTTGGTGTATTGGCTAGAGTCTGTGAACCTGTGGATTCCTGCGTTTATTTACAATCTGGCGCCAGGTGGAGGGGCCACTGCCCTGTATCTATCTGTTTTTCCTGCGTCCATGCATACATCACTCCTCTGTGTCTTTCTCCATATGGGACTCTGAGCACACAGACTAGGGCTGTCTGAGGCCTGGGCCAGTGGAGTTGATAAGGCTTTCTTTGCACTGATGGCAGAGCTTATTTCTAACTTGTCTTTTTTCAAAATCTTTCTCCCCCTCCCTAGCCTGGCCGTGTGGTGACCCTCCTTGAAGATCATGAGGTAAGTGCCTGAGTCAAGAAATGGACCAATGTAATCCAGGATGCAGACAGACAGCTCGTAGGCCCTGGGTTGTAGACTAGGTCTCATGCTTCTCTGGCAGAGCAGACGCATGCTCGAGCTCCATGCTTCTCGCATGAGGATCTTGTTAAAATGCAGATTTTGGCCAGACAGGTGGCTCTAGCCTGTAACCCCAGCACTTTGGGAGGCCGAGGTGAGGGAATTGCCTGAGCCCACGGGTTCCAGAACAGCCTGGGCAAATTGGCGAGACCTCATTTCTACAATAAATCAAAAAAATTAGCCGAGCATGGTAGCGTGCACCAGCAGGTCTGGCTTCTTGGAAGGCTGAGGCTGAAGGATCGCTGGTGCCCAGCAGGTCGATGCTGGAGTGGCTGTGAGCGTGCCGCTGCACTCCAGCCTGGGTGACGGAATGAGACTCCAACTCAAAAAGAAAAAAAAAATGCAGATTTTAATTAAGTAGGAGTAAAATGGGGCGTTCTTAACAGGCTTACAGATGATACCACTGGTTCCTGGGCCACATTTTGAGTAGGAATCCTGTCCTCCCTGGGACCAGACTACCTTGTCAACCCTTCTTAAGGAAGGGGGAGTAAGGGTTTCAGGTCTTGCTGCCAGCTGGCTTGTCAGTCGGCCACCCACTTCCCTTACAGGGCACAATCCTCGGGTGGGGGTAGCATTCTAGGAAGGGGAGGGAACAGCGAGGAGCTATCATGACTGACCCCAGGTGTCCCTATTTATTCCTAGGGCTGCACTTGGGGCGTGGCATACCAGGTGCGAGATGAGCAGGTAAGCGAGGCCCTGAAGTACCTGAATGTGCGGGAGGCAGTGCTTGGCGGCTATGACACCAAGGAAGTCACCTTCTATCCCCAAGATGCCCCTGACCAACCACTCAAGGCATTGGCTTACGTGGCCACCCCACAGAACCCTGGCTACCTGGGCCCTGCGCCCGAGGAGGCCATTGCTACGCAGATCCTGGCCTGCCGGGGCTTCTCTGGCCACAACCTCGAGTACTTGCTGCGTCTGGCAGACTTCATGCAGCTCTGTGGGCCTCAGGCACAGGACGAGCACCTGGCAGCCATCGTGGACGCTGTGGGTACCATGCTGCCCTGCTTCTGCCCCACCGAGCGGGCCCTGGCTCTGGTCTGAAGGGCTGAGCTCCTGTGGAGAGTGCCCATGTGGACATCAGGGCCAGACGCCCACTGCAGCGTACAATACAGACTTGAGACAGCCCCCTGAAAGGACATGGTGGGTGGCTGGGGCTTCTCTAGCTGAGCCCCCGCCTCTGCCTGTCTGCCAACCTCCAGCTCTCCTGCTTGGCACTGACTTACTACTTGAAACTTATTTATTGCACCATGTTGGTGTGGTGGGCAGGGTGGGGGGCCTGCCCTGGACACAGGGGCCCTGCTGAGCAGCGGCCCCGCCCCTGGCACCTGACCAGATTCCCCCCAGTGCTGCTGCTAACTCCACACCACCCAGGCCTCCATCTTCCCAAGGAGTCTCCGAGAGCCTTGATCCTCTCTGCCCACTAGACCAACCATTCCATAGCCCCGGAAGTTCCACCCGCCAAAGGCCCCAGCATGCCGGACGAGGGACAGCAGGGGGTGAGGAGGGAGCCCCACAAGGACTGGGGCTCCCGGCAACCCTGCTCCTTCACCAGTTCCCCAGGGTGGAGCTGGATCCCGTACCTGGATGCAACTACTGAGACGGCCTGGGCCTCTTACCCATTTGGTTTTGTTTCCCCGTCCCTCTGTCTGTCTGCCTGCTTGTCTGTCTGCGCCACTCTTGTCTGTCTGTTGGTCTCTTCCTGGGAAGCTCATCACTACAGGCCTTGACACCTTCCCTGTGTGTCCCACACTGTTACCCATAAACCGATCTCTTTATCTGTGCTGTGCTGGAATGTGGTTCTTTCTTAGATGGGGGCTGGGGTGAGCAAGAGGGCGAAGCCCTGCAAAGCACCTCGAGGGAAAAGGGTTCCCTCTTCCTCTCTTTCCCTCTGTCTCAGTGAGGGGCAGCTGAGCAGGCAGCACCACCAAGTTACATCACTTTCATGGGTATACTTCATGTCCTAGTGCATGCAAATAATGCCCCCTGAGTTGTGCAGAATTCAGTTCATGCAGCTCTACTTGGCAGTGTTGTAAGCATAGTTCTTGCTACCAACCTGGGACGCGTGTCTCCTCCTCTCCAGCTGCAGGGTCAGCTGCTGCCTCCTGATAACAGAGCTAGAGCCCTGGCTTCCTCCGAAAGGGGCATGTGGGTTAGGGTAAGGTGATGACCACTTCTGGGGCAAAGTTGTCAGCAAGGACCTGTGGCCTGGAGGACCTGTGTCCTGTTGGACCTGTGTCCTGTTGCCTCCTGGAGCTATGGTGTTGGTTGTGCCCTCTCCATGACCCTGACCTGCCAGGACTCTCGCCCATACTGGAATGAGTTTCCAGGGTGCCCAGGCTGCTGCTTGTTCACACCTGCCTGTCCCTGGATGCTTCGCCTGCCCTGGCCCTTGGGAGCAGATCACAGCTCTAAGATCTCAGCCTGGCCCTGAGCTCCTGAGGCTCCCTTTGGTGCCACTGGACTCCTGGACCTGCAGAACAGGCACTAGGCCCTTCCTCACTAGCTGTGTGACCTTGGGAGAAGTACTCAGCCCTCTGTATCAGTTTACTCTCTATGAGGGGATAATACCCAGGGGACAATGGGTGGGGACAGACAGGCTGTGTGGTGTGTGTTGCTGCTGCTCTTGTAACTGGTGCCCTGGATTGGTCTGGGTGTCCCCTGCAGGGTCAACTTTGACCAACTTGGGCAGCCATTGTCCTGGGGAGGGTGCCACAGCTGGGTTGTGTGCTCATGTCTTGGCGGCCTCGTTTCTTGGCCATTGATGGGAAGACTGTGGAGTCCAGCCAGGTCCTTCTGGGAGCCTGGTCAGGACAACACAACAGGAGGAGGCAGTGGGGGGCAGGGAGCCCGGAGTAGCCACCTCCTGGGTCAGGGTAGCACCAGAGAGCAGAAGCAGAGCCCTGCTCTATACCGGGAATTGAAGGAGAGTGGGGTGGGCTGCTTGCCAGCTGCAGTGAGGGGCTCATATTCTTCAAGCCCCGCACTCAGCAAGTATTTACTAAGCTTCCGCCATGTGCCAGGCACTGATCTAGGCATGGGGGTACAGCAGCAAAGAAATCCTCAAGGGACCTGGAGTCTAGAAGCTGACGGTGACCATTCGGCACAAAATAGGGCCCTGAGCACCTAGAAAGGGTCCCTGACTTGAGTGGGGCAGTCAGGGAACAGCAGGCTCCGGTGAAGGAGGCAAGGTCAGACCAGCTGAAACAGTGGCGTAGGGGAGGGGACATGAGCTGGACAGGTGGCCTCAGGGGCTGCATTGTGTGGGGGTGGTATTCCTCCAAGGTCAGTGGGGTCTTTTGGTGGGTTTTGAGCCGCGCAGAGATGAGCTTAAGAGGGAACACTGGCTGCTGTGGGCGACTGGAGGAGGAAGGCCAGAGAGAGGCCACAAGGAGGTTAAAGGGGCCCAAGCCGAGGCGAGGCCGTGGGAGTGGACAGGGGAGTGGACTGGACAGCTCTTTAGGGGTGAGGTCCACAGAGCTCAGTGGCTGGTTGGATGAGCAGAGGTGGGGAGGGTAGTCAGGAGGGCCAAGGCTTTGAGGATGGTGGCAACTCTGGAAAGGATGCGGGAGAGCTCCCTAGGGTTAAGCTGGGGGTGCCTGTGGTTAGGGCAGTGACACCCATGGGGCGTTTAGGGCAGCTGGATATGTTGGTGTGGGACTCGGGAGGGAAATCTGGGCACCATCCACATAGAGACAGCGCTTGAAGGCCTGGGAGGGGGGAGACAAGAGGACAGGACTGGGACATGCCTGAGTCCCCCAGCCCTGGAGTCAAGCCACTGGAGGGGTAGGAGGAAAACCAGGAGACAGCGGTGTCCAGAAAGCCAGGGGGGAAGGTGTTTCTAGGAGGTGTTCAACGTTGCCATGCTGCCGAGATGTCAAGGGAAACAAGGCAAGAGGAGTGTCCATCGGAGGAGATGCCGGGGGGTCCTCGATGGCCTGTCAGTGAGAGCAGTTTCAGGAACAGTGGTAGGAAGCCACCAGCCAGTGGGAGGGGGCAGCCAGTTCTCTGCAAGTGTGGCTGATTAGAAGAGAGGGAAGTCACCAGGCTCGGTGGCTCAGCCTGTAATTCCAGCACTTTGGGAGGCCGAGGCGAGTGGATTGCCTGAGCCTGTGGGTTCGAAACCCATCCAGGCAACTTGGTGAGACCTCGTCTCTACAGTAAACCAAAAAACTAGCTGGGCATGGTAGCACACGCCTGTAGTTCCGGCTACTCGGAAGGCTGAGGTGGAAGGATCGCCGGAACCCAGTAGGTTGAGGCTGCGGTGGCCGGGAGTGGCCACCACACTCCAGTCTGGGCGACAGAGTGAGACTCCAACTCAAAAAAAAAAAAAAAAAGAGTGGGAAACAGAATGGTGACTGAGGGCATGGGGATCTCTTTAAAAATGAGAAATTGTGGAGGACCCCAAGAGCTCTTATTTATGTGGGATATAGTTATTGACATTTACTGTATGCATTTACTGAAATTGAGAAGTTTAAAACATCATTAAACTATTTATAAATGTATTTTTCATTTTTAGAGACAGGGTCTCACTCTATCACCCAGGCTGGATTGCAGCAGTATAATCATAGCTCACTGCAGCCTTGAACTCTGGGACTCAAGCCATCCTCCTGTCTCAGCCTCCCATGCAGCTGGGACTACAGGTGTGTGCCACCAAACCCAGCTGTTTTTTTTCTCCTTTTTTTTTTTGAGTCAGAGTCTCACTCTGTCACCCAGGCTGTAGTGCAGTGACACGCTCACAGCTACCACAGCCACCACAGCCTCAACATGTTGGGCTCAGGTGATCCTGCCACCTTAGCCTCCCGAGTAGCTAGGACTACAGGCATGCACTACCACTCCTGGTTAGCTATTTTGTTTTTTGTTTTTGTTTTTTTTAAGTCAGGGTCTCGCTCAGTAATGCAGGCTAGAGTACAGTGGCATGATTACAGCTCACCGCAGCCTCGACTTCCTGGGATCAAGTGATCCTCCTGCCTTAGCCTTCTATAGAGCTGGGACTGACTATAGGCACACGCTACCATGTCTGGCTAATTTATTTATTTATCTGCCTGTAGAGTTGAGGTCTTGCTGTGTTGCCTGCACTGATCTCAAACTCCTAGTCTCAAGTCATTCTCCTGCCTACACCTCCCACAGTGCTGGGATTAGCCAGCTAATTTTTTTTTCTTTTAGAGATGGAGGGGGGTCTCACCATGTTGCCCAGGCCAGTCTTGGACTCTTGGGCTTGAGAGAACCTCCCGCCTCAGCCTCGCTAGTTAAATTCAAAATAAAAAATCAGGCACAATGGTGCACACCTATGGTCTCAGTTACTTGGGAAGCTGAGAAGGGAGGATCGCCTGAGCCCTAGAGTTCAAATCTAGCCTAGACAACCTAGTGAGGCCCTGTCTCTAATAACAATAATAATGATAAGCCTATTACATCTTAATTTTTTTTTCCGAGTAAGAGTCTCACCCTGAAGCCCAGGCTGGAGTGCAGTGGCGTGCTCACAGCCACCAGAGTCTTGATCTGCGGGGCTCACGTGATCCTTCTGCCTCAGCCTCCCAAGTAGCTGGAAACACAGGCATGTGCCACCATGCCCAGTTAATTTTTTTTTTAATTTATTGTAGAGACAAGGTGTCACTAAGTTTCCCAGGCTGGTCTTGAACCCCTGGGCTCAAGCAATCCTCTCACCTTGGCCTCCCAAAGTGCTGGGATTACAAGTGTGAGCCACTGTGCCTGGCCAACAAATTTTTTTTTTTTTTTGAGTTGGAGTCTCCCTCGGTTGCCCAGACTGGAGTGCAGTGGCCGCTCCTGGCCACCGCAGCCTTGACCTGCTGGGCTCCGGCGATCCTTCCGCCTCAGCCTTCCGAGTAGCCGGAATTACAGGCATGCGCCACCATGCCCCGCTGATTTTTCTATTTATTGTAGAGATGAGGTCTCCCTGCCCAGGCGGGTCTCGAACCCTCAGGCTCAGGCAATCCACTCACCTCAGCCTCCCAAAGGCGCGGGATTACAGGCTGAGCCACCGAGCCCGGCTAACAAATTTTTTAAAGAAAAATAATTGTATTTCCCCAAACAGTGGAAAGTATGGCATTTTTTTATTTTTAAATTCATTTTTTTTTTTTAGTTGGGGTTTCACTGTGTTGCCCAGGCTGGAGGGCAGTGGCACAATCACTGTTCACCACAACCTTGACCTCCTGGGCTCAGGTGATCCCTCTACCACAGCCTCGAGTAGCTGGGACCACAGGCATGCACCACCATGCCTGGCCAATTTTTTATTTTTTTGTAGATACAAGGTTTCACTACGTTGCCCAGGCTGGTCTCAAACTCTTGGATTCAAGCAATTCTCCCACCTTGGCCTCCCAGAGTACTGGGATTATAGGTATGAGCCACCATGCTGGGCTCGGCCCAGATTCCTAAAGGCTCTGGAAAACTCCATTGAACACTCAGGAAGAAATGAGAGTAAAAAAGACAAATAATCTCTTAGTATAATTTTCTTTTTTTCTTTTTTTTTTTTGAGTTGGAGTCTCACTCTGTCACCCAGACTAGAGGGCAGTGGCTGCTCCCGGCCACCGCAGCCTCGACCTGCTGGGCTCTGGCGATCCTTCCGCCTCAGCCTTCCAAGTAGCCGGAACTACAGGCGCGTGCTACCACATCCAGCTGATTTTTTGATTTATTGTAGAGATGAGGTCTCGCTGCCCAGGCAGGTCTCGAACCCGCGGGCTTAGGCAATCCACTCACCTCAGCCTCCCAAAGTGCTGGGATTACAGGCTGAGCCACCCAGTAGTATAATATTATTATGAAAATAATTT